CAGTCCAATTAGCACAACTGATTAGAATACTGAATGAATGAAGTCAGGATAAAGTATTCAACCCTTCTTTTTTTTTTAAATAATTTTTTTAATTTTTATTTATTTATGATAGTCACACAGAGAGAGAAAGAGGCAGAGACATAGGCAGAGGGAGAAGCAGGCTCCATGCACTGGGAGCCCAACGTGGGATTCGATCCCGGGTCTCCAGGATCGTGCCCTGGGCCAAAGGCAGGCTCTAAACCGCTGCACCACCCAGGGATCCCTATTCAACCCTTCTTGATGAGGGACTGTACTGAGAAAAACGCTGCTCCCTGGCTAGAGCTTGCATGCCATAGTCACTGCTGACTGTCTTATCAATGTATAGTTCTGAGAGAACATAATGGTTTAAGGAAAACCTATCACTATCTATCACTAAAAAAACAAAACCTATCACTAAAAAAACAAAACAAAACAAAATACCAGATCTTAGTGACAGTAATGCTTTTGATTGCTAAGGATGGCATATACACAGACAAAAACTATAAGAAGCAAAAGACTCATATTAAATAAAATTTAGAAAAATAATGTCGAAAAAATTAAGAATTTCACTCTCTTTTTCAATATATATTACATGGGCTCTATATTATGGCCTTTACAACTTTGAAAGGTATATTATAAACCATGGTAAGTAGGGCTTATGTTTTAGCCCAATTTTCACTATGTCAAACATGTAAATATTCTACTAAATGATTTCTATGATTAAGAAAATACCAGTACAATCATAGGAGACATACTACCTTAAAATATGAAGCATTCAATAATTTTGGTCTAAAATGTGAAATTTACCAGGTTCTGTAAGCCATCACAACTTCCCACATGCAATCATACAAAATATAATACAAACTTAAAACAAAACTGCTGTTACTATAAATATTAAATCCTGGTTTACTGGTATCAAACAACAGGATCTTATTCTTATCCACACACTTGAATTTACACTTTTTTTAAGCAAAAGGAAGTATACGGAAGTACTATAAAATCAGCAAACACTGAAACTTGGGCATTCTCTCGATTAGAAAGTTTGTTATTATTATGCCTCCTGAACTTAGGAATGCAGCACTACAGGTTTACAATAACAGGAAAAAAGTCATTACTAAATATAAATCTAACCCTTACAAACCTGATGAAGCTGTTTAGATTGAAACTAATGAAGCTGTTGCAAATGAATTTAGCATTTAGCACAGCGATGAGGAGGTATTAATACTTTCCTAATAACACTTTTGTAATAAGGTAAATTTATTTTAAATCTTCCTATTGCTATTCCTGTCTTTGTTATGCCTTCTGCTTTAATGTGAAAGAGCTGTCAGTTATAATGGTTTAGTATCCCTACGCAACCACCTCATTGCTCCTGTCCCTAACTCTGCCAAAGGAAATGAAAGGCCAACATTTCTCTTCTTCGGACTTAAAATCTTCTAAAACTCAAAGGAAACAAAACAGAGAAACTCAGAAATATATATTTCTGTTTTCCTTATTTCCATACATGGATATGGAATGATTATATTAAGAGTAGCTCTTAGTGCACATAGCCCTGCAAAGGAAAACTATTCTTAGAAAAGAATTTAAAGGGAAGAAGGTTATTATCACTAACTGGCAGAACTATAGGCAAGGTAGAATGAAAGTTATCAGCATATTTTAATCTGCCCCTAAAACTAATAACCGATCATACATCTCCCTGGCTTTGGCCGTTGGAAAGCTGAGAGCCAGATTTATACTTGAAGTTTATTTATTCTTTTGTTGTTTCATGGTATATACATACAAGCTGTATACTGACCTGTTCCTGACTGACCATCTATTCAAGTGAGTAAGAAACACTGTTTACTTTCATTTGAATCAATTAAATCAGAATGTGAGCTCCCATGAAATTTCAGCTTTGTTCTTTTTGTAATTGCCTCTCCCTTCCCAGAGTTTTATATCCCAGGGATTTTATCCCTATGCTCTTTTAAATAAATTTCTGTATATATCCTTACAGAATATTCTTTGTACATTTAAAAAAATTGTGGTAAGATAATATAAAACTTACCATTTTAACCATTTTTAAGTGTACAATTCAGTGGCGTGAAGTACACTCACAATGTTGTGTGACCATTAGCACATTCCATTTTCAGAACTTTTTCACCATCCCAATCAGAAACTGTATCTATTAAACCAGTACTCCCCATCCTCTCCCTCCCCAGCCCCACTCCCTTTCCCTCAGCCAGTGGTAACTCTCTATTCTCCTTTCTATCTCTATGAACTTGCCTATTCTAGATACCTCATAGAAATGGAATCATACAATATTTATCTTTTCTCTCTGGCTTATTCCACCTTAGCATAATGCATTCATGTTGTACCATGTATCAGAACTTCATTTCTTTTCAGGGCTGAGTAATATTCCATTATATGTATATAACACGTTTTGTTTATTCATTAATCTGTTGATGGGCACTTGGCTCATTCTGTTTTCACCTTTTAGCTAATTTGAAGAATACAGTACAGACATTGTTGTGCAAGTATCTGTTCAATTCTTTTAGGGTATATACCTACCTGTGGAATCGCTGCATCATGTGGGGGAATTCAATGTCTAACTTTTTAAGCAACTGCCAAACTGTTTTCAAAAGCAGACACATCATTTTATATCTCCGTTAACAATGCACGAAAATTCTCTGTACCTTTTTTGTTTTGATAGAAATGTGGATGAAACTTTCCTCATAGGCATCACACATTCCCTCGTGTAACACATACCATACAGGTTTCTTCCTTTAATACATATATAGCTGTTTATTTCAACATGTAGCTTTATTTTTAGATCATTTTCCATTACAGCATTTATAGTGAGTACCCCCAACACAGGCCAATATTTTCAGAGACAATAGCCAAATGGGTAATCAGTACATTAGTTTCATAAATCGTTTACCTCTTCATATCTAGTGACTCCTCCCTCCTCTCAATTTCACCTACTTCTAAGGCAATGCTTTTAATATTGTCAGTGCTCAGACTGAGTGCTTCACCTCCGAAATCTTAAATAGCAACATTCCACTTTCTGCCTAGAACCTCTGATCCTTTTAGCTCTTGAATTTTCTTATTCCCACTACCTTTGCTTTTGATTTCAAGATTCTGGATTTCTTGATTCCTCCTTTTTCTCCTGTACACAGGTTCTTTCAGTTTTATTTCCTGCTATATTTAGCTTACACTATCATTCATCATTTCAACAACTTTTTGCTAGTTCAACCACTCTCCTCATCATATCAGTCCCACAAATTTGTAATCCTGAATCACTTCAATCCTTTGCTTTCTGTGCTATAAGACAGCTGAATGTGTTAAGTTATGCAACTGTACAAACCAGACCTCATACTAATCTATCCCATTTATTTGCAGCTAGCTCTTCAGAATTGCTTGGCTCGTTCTTGCCCTTCTTCACTTCTCTTTCCAATCCCCTTTGGTAGCTACTCTGGTATTCCTTTCAAAGCCTTCTGCTGTCTCTATTTCAGAAGCCCATGTTGACCCTCACACTTTACAGGAAAAAAAAAAGAAACTATTAATTGTGAACTGAAATGAAACTATTAATTGTGAACGGAAATTTATTCCTATTTCACAGCTATTCTGTCCTTCAGTCAGTCCTATCTGTGAACATAAGCTGACCAGCTTCCTGTTCAAGGCAAACACTTCTGCAGATTCTAAATTCGATCTTGTCCTATTTTTTTTAGGAATCCTGTTCCATCTGTACCAATTCTCCCTATTGGCTCTTTCCAGTTAATCACAAACACACTCAAATACATATCTGCCATTTTCCAAAAATGAAGAATTCCTTACCCTATCTTCCTTTCTTCTCAACTGTCATTAATGTCTTTCTTATTCAAGTTTCCTCAAGGAACCACTCTATTGTCTAGATTACTATGCTTCTTTACCTCTAATCATTCTTCCATTCACAGAAAACTGTCTTCTGTATCTGATGTTTCATTAAAACTACTTCTGTGGAGGTTAGTCATGACCAGCAATATATCATGACATAATCCTTTCATAACTATTTCAGTAAAACTGATTTTGAGTTAATTGCGTTTTATGTATTTAACATTATTCTAAGAGGGGGTAAAATTAAAAGAAAATCTTTCAGTAACCCACAGGCCAAGTTAGTGAATTCTTACACTTCGGAACTGGAGGGTATTATGCTGAGTGAAATAGAACTGGAGGGTATTATGCGGAGTGAAATAAGTCAATCGGAGAAGGATAAACATTGTATGGTCTCATTCATTTGGGGAATATAAATAATAGTGAAAGGGAATAGAGGGGAAGGGAGAAGAAATGGGTAGGAAATATCAAAAAGGGAGACAGAACATGGAAGACTCCTAATTCTGGGAAACGAACTAGGGGTGGTGGAGGGGGAGGAGGGTGGGGGGTGGGGGTGACTGGGTGGTGGGCACTGAGGGGGGCACTTGACGGGATGAGCACTGGGTGTTATTCTGTATGTTGGCAAATTGAACACCAATAAAAAGTAAATTTATTATTAAAAAAAAAGAAAAATGCCAGTGTGACCTACTGAATTAATTTCACAACTACTCTTGCAGCATAAATTAAATAAGTGTTAAAAATCCTTCAGTGGCATTCCTTTAGAAACTTCTCATATTTATAATTGGCAAAAGGCTATTATTATTATTATTAATGTACTGTTTTAAAAATATGTATTATTTCAGAGATGGTATTTAGATGAGCAAATAGTTCAACAGCCAGCTAAACTCTATTCAGACAACTTGTTTATGGTTATATTTTATAATTCTAATGGGAATCTAAACTTAAATTTTACTAAATGCAGGAAGGAAAAAAAAGGTAGAATAAAGAATATTTTATCCCTGAATCATTTTAAAATTATAAAAATGTTTTAACTGAATGTTTAATTTGACTGAGGTATTTCTTCATTCACTAAAATCAGGTAGAAACATTTCCCAAACCAACAAATTTATTTATGCCCAGGTTAAGAAGAATTTTACCTGTAGTAAACTCGAAGTGTTTGGATTTCTTCTTCTAGTTTTTTGTACTGTTGAATTGCAGTCTCTCTGGCTTGTTGCATAGCCAACAACTTTGCCTGCAAGTAGTTAATATTTTAAGAAATTTAATATCAGTATTGGTATGTTAGAATACAGTATTGTAGTATAAATAGGAGCCTTAAATTTGTGATAGTTTTAAAATCTATCAGTATTATTTAATAGAGTCTCATAATTTCCCACAAAATAATCAAATTATATTAATAACAGACATATTGAAAACAAGAACATATTAAATGTACCAAGTTTGCCCATTACTAAGCTTCAGCCTTATTCATCTGTATCATCAGATATATGCTCTTCTGCAATGTTTAACTTTACACACAGAATTCAGAATGTGGAACATGGGTTCAGAGCAATATCTAGAGTAGAGATAAGCACAATGGGTGTTTCACATACAAACTTAATGTGGCTCCACTGCCTGATCACACCAGATTTTCTTTTAACTTTATTAATAGTAAAACCCAGAAAATTCTAAATATGTTGTTAAGCTATCCTTGATATTTTATGTGAAAAAAATACACAAGAGTATAACCTGATTCTTAGAGATAAGACTTAACCTTTTCGATTCCTTTTCTGCAGGAAAAAAAAATCTCTAGAGAGAGTATGGCAATAGTCTTGAATGTTAGAGGTTCTTTTATTCAAAGGATGTTATTGTTCCTCTCTACCTATAATATTCAAATTTTAAAGGGTTTGCAATCAGTTTTTTGTTAGGGGTTCATATTCATAATTTTAGAAAAACTGCCAACCTCCAACCATCTTTTGCACTGGGTTTCAGGTGGAGTCAAAAAAAGTTTTCAACGTAACTTTTAAAAATGGTACTGGTGAATCAGATTTCAGTTTTATTTATTCAAAATTTAATTTGCATGGAACAATGGACTTTCTCTTTTAGTGGTCTTTGATAGGTAACACAGAGCAAATTGTTATCAGACACCTCACAAACAACATTAATGGCAATAATTAATAAGTAATTGAGTTTGGAGGCAGAAGTTGACTAATTTTGCTGAACTCATATGATTTCACTGGGATTATTTTCTTGCATAAGAATAAATTCATAAGACAAACTGTGAAATCCTAACCACAAGAAAATTAATTAGTGTAATGTAAGTGAACACTTTCCTACTTTAATAATGGAGAATGATGAAAACAATGCAGCAATTCAGGTCTTTCTATAACTTTAGGAACTGAAGTAAATAATTTGTTTTCTATCTGGTCTTGGAAACAGGACAAAGAATTACTTCTACATTCTTTTTTTTTCATTCTTTTTTTTTTTTAAGATTTTATTTATTTATTCATGAGAAACACAGAGAGAGGCAGAGACATAGGCAGAGGGAGGAGCAGGCTCCTTGCGGGTATCCTGATGTGGGACTTGATCCCAGAACCCCAGGATCGTGCCCTGAGCCAAAGGCAGACGCTCAACCACTGAGCCACCCAGGTGCTCCTCTTCATTCTTTCAATTTAAGATGTTCCTTTAACATTCATATTCTAGAATTACAGACTAAACATTCTCAAAAATGATTAAAAAGCATTTAAAAATAGATGACTGGTTCTTTATGCCAAAAAATGGACATCTTTGCCAGTTTTCAGTAAATTATAAAATGTGATTGAAATGGTAACATGGACCACTGTGACTAATGGTCAAAAAGAATCACACAAGAAAGGACAGACATATCACATTCAACTTATAAAATGCTCAACATTCTGTGGCATGTATTTAAAGGATAGATACTGAATAGGTAATAAAGGATTTGCTAAACAAATATATAACAATGCTAAGTATCTTAGATGATTATTTTGAAGGTATTTTTTTATTTAACTTGGTACTTCTGCAAAAACAAGCCAAAAAAAAAAAAAAACCCTCTCAAAAACAGAAAGCAAAACCAACAATGTTCTCATAGGAAAATGCCACAATGAAGATTTCTTCCTAAGAAATTTCTGCTAAAAAATGGGAACATGAGAATTTTACTTAAATTCTTGTGCTTTAGGTAATATTGACTTTTTCACTTCTCTTGTTTTATTTACATGGCTGTGAAGATTTGGTGTGGCTGCACTGCAATCCACTTAATTTATTAATTCTAAATGTCTAATCTTATGCCAAGGCCCTGCTGACTATAGTCAAAGCTATTATAAGCCTCCTAGCCTTACAACCCCCTTTTTCTCTTAATGAGATATATGTTCAACAGGCCAGCATTTCTTTTTTGGGGAAATACCTTTACCCTCTGCCATAGTGACCCTGTTCAGTCCTGATGGTTACGGTGAACTGCATTCCCCATCACCTCAGGTATACATAATCCAGATTGTTCATCAGCCCCAGAAGATAACTGAATCCTGATGACATCATTTGTATTCCTGGATCCCCTATGCCAGACAGCTGCAGATCCATTCCATTTCTTGGACTTCCTGAGTATAAAGATCTTTTTTTGGCTTAGGTTAGCTTGAGTTAGATTTATGTTATTGTGAGAAAGCTTAACTGATTTAAATGTGCTGTTTACTTCTATTGCATTTCCTACTTTCACTATATCATATAATTCCATCACATTACAAGTCAATAGTAAATTTCATATCAAAACATTAAGCAAATTAGTGAACAAGACTTTTTTTCGTGTTCCTCAGGCATATTTCCCATATTTCTGGCAATTACAGTAATAAAAACTGCATGCATTCATTTATGTGTGTACTCACATAAAAATATATACCTTAAATAAACTAACAGAATTTAAAAAGTATAAGAAAATATACAATATAAAGTACATCTTTTTCTACTAAAGCTGTTTGGAAAGATAGAAAGAGATGGAGTACTTCCAAATTCGTTATATGACGCCAGCATCACCTTAATTCCAAAACCAGACAAAGACCCCACCAAAAAGTAGAATTACAGACCAATATCCCTGATGAACATGGAAGCAAAAATTCTCAACAAGATACTAGCCAATAGGATCCAACAGTACATTAAGAAAATTATTCACCATGACCAAGTAGGATTTATCCCCAGGACACAAGGCTGGTTCAACACTCATAAAACAATCAATGTGATTCATCATATCAGCAAGAGAAAAACCAAGAACCATATGATCCTCTCATTAAATGCAGAGAAAGCATTTGACAAAATACAGCATCCATTCCTGATCAAAACTCTTCAGAGCGTAGGGATAGAAGGAACATTCCTCAACATCTTAAAAGCCATCTACGAAAAGCCCACAGCAATTATCATTCTCAATGGGGAAGCACTGGGAGCCTTTCCCTAAGATCAGGAACAAGACAGCCATGTCCACTCTCACCACTGCTATTCAACATAGTACTGGAAGTCCTAGCCTCAGCAATCAGACAACAAAAAGACATTAAAGGCATTCAAATTGGCAGAGAAGAAGTCAAACTCTCCCTCTTCGCTGATGACATGATACTCTACATAGAAAACCCAAAAGCCTCCACCCCAAGATTGCTAGAACTCATACAGCAATTTGGTAGCGTGGCAGGATACAAAATCAATGCCCAGAAATCAATGGCATTTCTATACACTAACAATGAGACTGAAGAAAGAGAAATTAAGGAGTCAATCCCATTTACAATTGCACCCAAAAGCATAAGATACCTAGGAATAAACCTAACCAAAGAGGTAAAGGATCTATACCCTAAAAACTATAGAACACTTCTGAAAGAAATTGAGGAAGACACAAAGAGATGGAAAAATATTCCATGCTCATGGATTGGCGGAATTAATATTGTGAAAATGTCAATGTTACCCAGGGCAATTTACACGTTTAATGCAATCCCTGTCAAAATACTATGGACTTTCTTCAGAGAGTTAGACCAAATTATTTTAAGATTTGTGTGGAATCAGAAAAGACCCCGAATAGCCAGGGGAATTTTAAAAAAGAAAACCATATCTGGGGGCATCACAATGCCAGATTTCAGGTTGTACTACAAAGCTGTGCTCATCAAGACAGTGTGGTACTGGCACAAAAACAGACATATAGATCAATGGAACAGAACAGAGAACCCAGAAGTGGACCCTGAACTTTATGCTCAACTAATATACGATAAAGGAGGAAAGACGATCCACTGGAAGAAAGACAGTCTCTTCAATAAATGGTGCTGGGAAAATTGGACATCCACATGCAGAAGAATGAAACTAGACCACTCTCTTGCACCATACACAAAGATAAACTCAAAATGGATGAAAGATCTAAATGTGAGACAAGATTCCATCAAAATCCTAGAGGAGAACACAGGCAACACCCTTTTTGAACTTGGCCACAGTAACTTCTTGCAAGATACATCCACGAAGGCAAAAGAAACAAAGGCAAAAATGAACTATTGGGACTTCATCAAGATAAGAAGCTTTTGCACAGCAAAGGATACAGTCAACAAAACTAAAAGACAACCTACAGAATGGGAGAAGATATTTGCAAATGACGTATCAGATAAAGGGCTAGTTTCCAAGATCTATAAAGAACTTATTAAACTCAACAGCAAAGAAACAAACAATCCAATCATGAAATGGGCAAAAGACGTGAAGAGAAATCTCACAGAGGAAGACATAGACATGGCCAACATGCACATGAGAAAATGTTCTGCATCACTTGCCATCAGGGAAATACAAATCAAAACCACAATGAGATACCACCTCACACCAGTGAGAATGGGGAAAATTAACAAGGCAGGAAACAACAAATGTTGGAGAGGATGCGGAGAAAAGGGAACCCTCTTACACTGTTGGTGGGAATGTGAACTGGTGCAGCCACTCTGGAAAACTGTGTGGAGGTTCCTCAAAGAGTTAAAAATAGATCTGCCCTATGACCCAGCAATTGCACTGCTGGGGATTTACCCCAAAGATACAGATGCAATGAAACGCCAGGACACCTGCACCCCGAAGTTTATAGCAGCAATGTCCACAATAGCCAAACTGTGGAAGGAGCCTCGGTGTCCATCGAAAGATGAATGGATAAAGATGTGGTTTATGTATACAATGGACTATTACTCTGCCATTAGAAACGACAAATACCCACCATTTGCTTCAACGTGGATGGAACTGGAGGGTATT